ATAAAGTTGTTCATGAAATTATTTCCAATCATACGAGATCCAAGGAAGAAGATCCTCTTCAAAACTCTAAATTCTCTCCTCCCTCCCCCTTAACAAACGAGACATGATATTGATAAAAACAAACAATATGTTAAAACATGGAGACCCACTAGAACCTCATTCACATGTTATGACAACTGCTATCCTTTAGAGTGGAAGATATAGTATGGTTAAGTCATCATTTACCCCTAATATCTTTTCTGAGTCATCTTCTTATGTTTGATTCCAATTATTTTTATTTTTTTGTTTTTTACTAGAAGTGTAAGTGAGCCAAGTTTGCACGTGAGTCAACTCAAAACTCAGTTCGTGAATGAGCACACAAGTTGAGCTTATTGAGTAGCACGCTCGAGCCCAAGCTTGGATTAGAGCTCGTATATTACGCAAGCTCAAGTTTGAACAAGTCAAGATCATTGGTTCAAAAGTTGGTTCAAGATAAATTGTAAATTCTAAAATTTATTTCTTTCTTAATTTTTTTTTATTTCAATATGTCATTGGTCCTGATAATGCCTACTCAAGTTCAAACCCTAATCTCATTTCACAAATTCCTCTACTGCTTCAAATGGAGGCATTGGTCCCATTGATACCTTATATAGTGAACTCTCATCACGACTTTGTTGACCTCCACATATCCATCAAATCAGCACGAGCAAAATAGGAGAAATTGGGCACGATGTGCCACTTGAATGCTAAAATGACCTCCAACCGCCAAATGGATTGCACCGCTGTGATTGGAGCGTCGAATTTACCTAAAAAGGAGCATCTTGCAGTTGAATCGAGCGAAAACGGTCAAAATTGGCGACCGACACCAATAAGCAACGGGCAATCCATATAGCGTAGCGTCACGCCACCATATCCACAACACTCATACAATCAAACATAAGGCATTTGCAAATTCTAGAATGAAATCCACATACTTCTCAACAAGGGTCATTTGCACAGTTAGTTATAACTAAATATTTCAAGAATATCTCCATGTATTGAAATGCGCATAGATGCATTTATATCATGCATATGCACATCACAAAATATAAAAAATACATCATGCAAGCATGTTATCCAATATGTAAAATACATTGTGTAGGGACCAAAACGCTACGCTGGCTTGCAAATATATCATGCATTGCATGCAAGCACTAAATCATCATGCTAATGCGTTATGCAAGCAAGCAAACAATGCATGCACACATCATACATACATATGATGCAAATATATCATACACTATATTATTAGCACATTAAACATTTAAACCACTACATTGCATATTAAGCACAACATGCAAAATGCCAATATACATGTATACATACAAATACACAAGTGCATACGTGAGCATAATAACATGTTGATAAAAGTGTAAGTGAGTATGCAAGCATGAAAATATATGCAATCAAATACCCACATGAGCTCTGACAAGCATGTTGTACACACGTGATTTCTGAGGATGCTGTGTGGGTTAAGAAATGAACTTAAGTTCAAGCACGATCATTCTATATATCTATATAAATAGATAGGAGTCGACATGACCCGAATTGTCAAACGAGATATTTTTTTTTAATATGTTCATATTAAGCCTTCAAAGTCTATTACAAGAAGAATTCATTAATACAAGCATAAAGCCAACAACGAACCCAATCAACTGTCAGCAAGTAGACATAATCAACAAGGTTCAACTGATAAAGTAAAATCGCCCATAAATATACCGATGATGACCGTGTTGACAGAAAATCTCAACTGGAATGGACACTAAACTTTTAAAATGCCTCCCAAATTATCACTAAGTACATTCAAATCGACTTCAACATGATCCTGATAATGACCATGTTGATAGAAAATCTCAATCAAAGGGGACCCCAAACATTCAAAATGTCTCCAAATTCCCATAAAATACATTCAATTTATTTTAACATATTCATGAATGATACTAATGTTTAAAACTAAAATTAATCACCAAATAGTTAAAGCAAAATATCCACCCACCCTCTGCAACAATTTGCCGAGGTGAACAATATAGAAAATCACTTCATCGTCATTACCACTTCATATTCATTTGTAGTTGCAACACCCATTGAATTGTTAGTTGATAATTTGACTCGCACGTCGCACACAAGGACAATTTCTTAAATATTCAATCATTTCCTTCGTCGTTGAAACACCCGTCTGCGCTTCATTCTTCAACCTCTTGAAGTTACTAAGAACAAAGAAATAGGAACTCTTCTTCTACCACTATAGGTAGGCCAAGAAATGTATAGGAAGTTCAATAAACAAAAAATGATTTATATTTCAAAATCATATTTCATTTTGAAATAGGAAAAATACTCAAAAAACCATAAAGTCTTCGGTTCAGTTGTATTAATGCAACTTGAGAACCTTCTGAAGACATGGGCACATTGAGAATGAAATAACTAATAAGAGATGTCTCGACCAAAATCACATTAGTTGCCTCTAACAAAATATCACTATTGCTCAGATCTCACTCCTCTCACTATATCTAGAATCTATTGCAAATCCTCGATCTCTATCTCTCTCATGCATTCCTTCTTATTGTTCTTTTCTCTATTGTAATTTCTCATCTACTTTATTTTCTTTTTAGAATAAGCCCAGCTCGATGGGAATCCCCTTTTCTGGAAAAATTATTAGGTGCGGAGTGTGCACCGTCCGCACAAACATGGGTACCTAGAGGTACCTAGCGCGGAATAAGGCTTGTGCGGACAGTTCTCCCCGTCCGCACTCCGCACCTAATAATCTCTCCCTTTCCTATACCACTCGAATACATTGTAAAACTCTTTCAATTATTTATAGTCTGCATAGGTCATACGATCCGCAATGCTTTATGGTGCCAAATGTTGGCCATTAAAAGAGAAGCATAATACTAAGTTAGGTGTTGCAAAGATGAGGATGCTAAGGTGGATGAGTGGCTTTACTAGGGGCGGAAGCCTTTGGAGGCTAGGGGAAGCAATTGCCCCCCCTGAATTTTATTTATTTTTTGTTCATTATAATATTATTTAGGTAATTTGTCCCCCTTCAATCTATTTTTTAGTTTTTATTACAAGGGTTTTTAGGCAATTCCCCCCCTAAAAATATTAAAATACTATGGTCTTTAGGCAATTGCCCCTAATATAATTAAATATATTGTGTATATGTTTTATTGTTAAGGAATGATGAACCAAATACAAAGAGAAATAATAAATCAAAATTTGTTCCGGGGGCAGCCCCTTGACCCCGCAACCTGAGCATGTCGAACCCCGCTAGGGGGCGCTGCCCCCTTTGTAGTGCCAGTGGAAGATAACATTAAAGAGAGCCGCCTTAGATGGTTTGGTCACATAAAACGGCGGCCTTCTGATGACCCGGTTAGGAAAATAGAAGTATTAGATTTGACTTATGTTTAACGTGCTAATATTAGAAAATATTAGAAATAATCTTTCTTTATTAAATTTAAATGAGAATTTGACTTTTAACATGCCACAATGGAGAAAAAGTATTCATGCAGCCGATCCCACATGGTGGGACAAAGGCTTGATGTTGTTGCTGTTGTTGTATAGGCCATACGATCAAACCACCAACAATTTTCTTGTGAACTCTACACATCACTTCTCTCTTATATATATATATAGCCTTGTAGAAGTGGTTTCTCAATCTATGTATTCTATGGACCTCCAACGTGTGTACTCTTCCTCCTGCATTCTTAGGCAAACCAGATTTCACCCAAACAACCAAACATAACATGGATTGAGGAATCCATATAATGTTCTCATTCATTCATGGTGTGACATTCCAATAGAAGAACAAACCTATAACGGCATCTAACCAAGTTGGTTGAGGATCTAAAGTGGGTATAAATCTTCCTAACATCAGGACTATAAGAACAAGGTGGTGATGATGATGATGAGGTAAAAGCAAATGATTTGATTTATATAGTTGGGCACTATAATCATCAAATGCATACAAGCTTCGTAAACATTGATATCATTGTTCAAAATGATGGTCAACTACCCTAAAAGAATTTTATCATTAATTTCTTCTCCTGTGGAACATGCAACATTAGCAATGCACTAAATACTATTTTATTCAATTTCAATAGTATTATTTCTTACTTCAAGTTCAGCATCATTGCTATTTTGGTAGTTTAAGTTCATTAGTTACAAAAAAATTCCACTACTAAATATTATTGACATCATAAATAATATGAGAATAGCAAAAAAAATTCTTTGGGCATACAATTAATGGGATACGAAATGAGCATATACATGAAATGGTTGGAGTAGCTCTAGTGGCAGATAAGATTAGAGATAGTCGCCTTAGATGGTTTGGTCACATAGAACGGCAGCCTTCCGATGACCCGGTTAGGAGAGTAGATGTATTAGATTTGACTTATGTTAAGAAAGATAGAAGTAGACCTAAAAAGACTTGATTAGAAAATATTAGTAATGACATTTCTTTATTAGATCTAAATGAGAATTTGACTCTTAACCGGACACAACAGAGAAAAAGGATTCATGACCCCACGTAGTGGGATAAAGGCTTGATGTTGTTGTTGTGGTGGTGGTGGTGGTGTTGGTGCATACAATTAATGGAAAGTGAATCACATTAAAACTCCAAATACGACACCAATACCTAAAAAAAATTATAGGACTTAGAAAAGCAGATAGAATAACATCCTAATTTTCTAACAAATTATCCATTAAGTTGTATCTTCTATAAAGATCACTATGGCAACCAATACATCCTCTTACTGAACAATTGATCAATAATATATCAATATAAATGCATAAAATTAATCCAAATTGAAATTCAAAAGCCTGAAGATATTAAGATTATCATGCACTACATACATTTCTGAAATAAAATTTAGATGCCAAATTGAATTTCAAAAGCCTGAAGATCACCATTTAAATACGAAACAATGAATTAGCAACAGTTTTGGCCTAGAGTAGAAACGAAAGGAAAAAAAAGAAGAGAAATACCCTTGTTTTGCACTTTCCATCACAATATAACACAAATTATCAACCAAATTTCAAACTTTTTTCATTACTAGCAGAAACTTCACAAACAGTTACAACTCAAATAGCACAGCATAGATAGTGGAGGCCAATCATTTATTTCACAGTGAATATAGTAATAGTGATTCTAGATATGCAATTTCATACAAACTCCATGACTAAGCCTCCAGCTTAAAGAAAAACACCTGCATTATATGTTAGCAACTGAAAATTTTAAGTAATAAAGTTAAGAGACTGTCATAATAAGATGTGATATTGAAGGAAAAAGTCATTATTTTAATGGGATAATTCTATCAGTTCATTCAAACTAGGAAAGAAGCTTTCAATTTGACAAAAATGAAGGGATTTGAACTGATAACATTACCTGAAAAGGAACATGCGGAATTCTTCAATTGATCTGGAAAAGAAAATGGAAGTGGGAAACTGGTTAGTTAATTTAAATGGTATGTTTACACAGAGAAAATATATTTTAGATTAGGCTTTAGCCAAATATTTCATAAAGATAAATTTATAAATATGCAAATGAGAATCATATTATTAGACATTCATTCAGATAGAATCAGCCCAAATACCATTCTCCAATTAAGAATAGAAATAGTGGGGAAAATTGAGCTGCAAGCCATGTAAGAACTTACCCCAAACTTCTTCTTCGCGCTATCAATTAACTCTAGAGAATCACGTTTTGTTTGGCTATAGGCATCTATCTTGTTCAACTCCTGTAAAGTTAGTTTCAAAATTAATAGAACGATTTGTCTTTCAGATGATAATGATTAATGTAATAAAGAAAAAAAATGCTAAGGCTTGGCTTACTGTGAATGTTCCTGATCAATTAAGCATCTTAGTTATATATTTTAGTGCTATGTTTATGGACATAGATCTGATAGATGGAATCTTCATTGAAATAAGAGGGATAAAATATTTAAAAGATAATGAATTTAAATTTAGTAGAACAAATACCCATAGCATTTTAATGAATGTGGCACTATTAACTACCGGCGTTATTATTAGAGGATAAAATAATACTTAAATATCATATGTTTTATTATCTTGAATCTATTATCAACAACAACAACAACAACATCAACATCAACCCTTTGTTGCACTACGTGGGATCAGCTACATGAATCATTTTTCTCCATCGCATCCTATTAAAAGTCAAATTCTCGTTTAAATCTAATAAAGAAAGATCATTTCTAATATTTTCAAACCAAGTCTTTTTAAGTCTACCTCTACCTTTCTTAACATAAGTCAAATTTAATACCTCTAGTTTCCTAACTTGGTCATCGGAAGGCAGCCGTTTTATGTGACCAAACCATCTAAGACAACTCTCTCTAATCTTATATTCCATTGGCGCTACTCCAACCTTTTCACGTATATGCTCATTTTGTATCCTATCTCTAAGGGTAAAGCCACTCATCCACCTGAGCATCCTCATCTCTGCAGCACTTAACTTAGTATTATGTTTCTCTTTTAATGGCCAACATTCGGCACCATAAAGCATTACAGGTCTCACCACCATCTTATAGAATTTTTCCTTAAGTTTGAGGGGAACTTTTCTATCACACAACAAGCCCGATGCATTCCTCCACTTCAATCATCTAACTTAAATCCTACTGATAATATCCCAATGTATTTCACCATCACTCTGAACAATAGATCCAAGATATCTAAAATGTATAGTTTTATTAATGACTTAATCACCCAAAGTCACAATCCCCTCACTAAGTCTATTACTACTAAAATTACACTCCATATATTCAGTTTTAGATTTACTCAAACGAAAACCTTTAGACTCTAAGGTTGACCTCCATAATTCAAGTTTACCTTCAACTCCCTCTCTAGTTTTATCAACAAGAAGAATATCATCAGCAAAAAGCATACATGAAGGTATATCCTCTTGCAAATGTCTATTACAAAGATGTAAAAATTTTGAAGCTTGATAACAAAACATTCAAAAACCATTTCTTCAATATCTGAATATTACAAAATCTCGATAAATGTCTTCCATTTGAATCAATTCAGAAACAAAAAGGATAAATCACTCATTAATAAGATTGGCCAGTTCTTTCATTAACCCAGATATTTATTGTGGACTACATTTAATGTCTTCCATAGGATCGTCTTCATCTAGCCACTTTCTCTAGATTATACTCATCTTCTGATCCCACAAATATCATAAAATTGTTGGATAGCTCACGATCGTCTTCGCCACCAAATGAAAATCTCACTCGCCTTTATGACGGACCCCTAATTCCCCTAATTAACCAATCCGCTCAATGTTCTGCTTTGAAGGAATTTTCATACAATTTCATCAAATATTTTTTCCCTTTTTTATTTGATTTATATTCATTATTGTTATTTGTTAGTTGCTCGGATGATTCATTGAATATATTGGTATGAGATTAAAAAAAAATTATTGATATTGCAGTTATGTGATGAAAAATTATTTAGAAGAGAAGAATGTATAGGGTTAAATTTGGGAAATTAATTGTAAACCGATGAATCAAAATGATGAAAATTTAGAAGAAAAATTAGACATTTAAAAGGCCAACAACTCGAAGATAATAGCATGGATCAACAATTCTACTCAAACATCAATAGGCATACATCTGACAAAGTATGAAACAGCTAAAACAGTTTGACATCATTTACAATGCCTATACACATAGACTAATTGATGAGGGCATCAGAAGATCAATGATCTACGGCCACGATCTACTTTTGATTATTATTGTATTTGATATATTTTATTTTTGTTTTATGAGTCTATTGTATTTCTTTCCATTTATGCCCTTGCTTAAGGGCCTCGTCATGTGTTTTCCTGAAGGGCAATTGTGTCTTTTAATTTTCTTCATGTATTTGGCTATTTAAGCCTTCTCCCTCCTCTTGGAGAGGGATGATGATTATTGAAAATGAAATTCTTCTCTTTGTGTTCTCTTTGTGAGTTCATATTTTCTTGCCCGTAACCCTGAAATTTTCGTTCATATTTTTAATTAAAATCTGTGATTAATTGCGGGCCCCATTTTAGTTAATACAAAGCCTCTCTCTTTCTCCCTATGGCCGGCCACCTCACCCTCATTGTTTCTCTCTCTAATTGCACCTCACCACCACTTAAATACCTCTTTAATGCCTCCTCTCACATAGTTAATTCCAGATTTCATCAGTTTTAATTTCAGATTTCAAAAACCTGAAATTTGAAACGGATCCTCTCCCTCCCCCATAGTTTTCCTATTCTGTGGTATTACAGCATGCTGTCCCAGAATTCCAGAAAGGGCAACCTGCTGTACTGCAATTTTCAACAAGGAGATTTGATGCCTGTGTTGCTGGAACGACCCCACTCGCTGTCAAGGTTTTCTGGGTCTTAACAGACTGCTGTTCTCGCCCACCAGCTGGCTGGCTGATTAGACCTTCCGTACAACCCTTCCTACAGCAGCCCATCACCGTCCCAGCCACTCCGGGAGCAACCATCAAAGGACAGACAGCTGGGAATCGTTCTCCCAGGTTGAAGACTCGCTGCCCAAGAATTTGATCGTGGATTGTGGCTGTCCAAGTCATCCAAGAAGTTGTCAAGCACCACCTACTTCCGATCCAACCATCAAAGCACCACCGGAACGTTGTATGACTTCACTCCTTGGGTGAAACTCTTTCCCTAACGCTCTTATCTTCCTAGTTTACTTTTCGTTTATGATTATTAATGGATTCATGAAGATCATATCAATTATTCGCTGCTAGAACCTAGTAATAGGAAGAGTTGTGTGAGGGATCTTTCATAGACTAATCTTATTGTTAGTATTGGAATCTATTGTTGGAACTATCCATGTATGCAATGTTGGATTAAGCTGGCTATCTTTTGAACTTAATTTCTATGCATGTGAGTTAACCTAAGCTAGGTACCACTTTAATATTTATCTTATCGTTCAATTCCGCATAAGATCTTGCTTATTATTGCCTCTAAAATCTAAACGTGCAAACTTCTTTAAGCAAATCACTTTCGCATGGATTGTTTTACATCACTAATAATGCAAAATAATATTAACTAGAGATTGATATTCGATATCTTCACCAAATAATATGATTATTCAAGAGTTTTATACCGCCAAGATTAATCTTTGGGATCAGTTGGCCCTTACAGAATCATCAGGGCTTCAAGCATTTTGTCCTTGTATTGTTAATGGAGAGGAGCAACGGTGATGACTTTGAAACATTACTTGGCAATATTATTCGTCTCAGCGCGTTTCATTATCTTGATTCAATAGTTGGCGAATTATTGGTTGATGAGATATATCATAAATCTCAAGTAGAAAAAGGTATCCTCACCACACAAGATCATCCGTCTTAGCAATCCTTCCTTGTACAATTTCTAACAATCAGAACAAGTCAAACTCCAAAGCTGCAAATGATGAATCTAATTTTGGTAAACAAATTAAAAGGGCAATGGATGACAAAATGCCCTAAATTGTTAAATAATGCTCAACAAAAATTTCCACAGGCTCAATCACACCGGCGTGCATCTGGTAATACCTATTAGTTCTGTGTGGAATCTAATTGTGTTGGTCAATCGGTTATACTGTTGTCTCGGACCTCAATTAAGTTTGTTAAGCTCGCTGGGGCTTGTAGGGGGTCCTATCCTTGCTTGGGTTCGAGTGCTTTCTACCTGAAATTTTTTTCTTAAAATGCCTCGATGCTGTGTACCCGAGGGCCCTGACATTGTGTACCTGAGAGTCCCGACGTTGTGTACCCGAGCGTCACAACGCTGCATAGTTTAGTGTAAAAAGACAAAAAGCAGAATGTTGTGGCGCTACAAATCTCAACGTTGCTATGGAGCATTGCGGCGCTTCAGACCCGGTGATGCGGAGCTAACGTGCTGGCTAAAATCAAAAAGTGGGAGCGCCGCAACGCTCTAACTTGGCGCAACAACGCTGCGAGGCTAGCTAGGCATTTTTATTTCTAGTTTTTCGTTAAGGGTTGTGTCCCCTGGTGGTTTCTATTTTATCTCTTTGTATTTTCTAGAGTGAGAATGGTGCAAGGATGAAAAGAATCAAGGAAAGAGTGAGAGAGAAGAGAGATCTATACTATTTCTCCTAAATTTTCATAGCAAATTTCTTGGTGTGGTGTGGCTCCGTGTTTTTTTCTCGTTTTTGAGTTTTTCCATATCAAATCCTGATATTCTTTCTTTTTTATGGAATTTTCTATTTCTTGTTTATTTTGTTGTGTGGTTTTACTTCCCCCCAACAATACCACGGTTGATTCCCTTATTGATCAATTCAAAAGTTCCTCACCAGACATCCCTCTGTTATGTTACTTCAAGTTTGTCAGCTCCCAGTTCTTCAGGCATATCTCCATCCATTTGAGTCACAGTCTGGGGACCCTCATCATGTCCCCTAACTAGTCATCATGCTTTCTGTATCCACTACGAATCATATTTCCATCATAATTGCTGATGGTACTTCTATGCCCTTGGCTGGTGTTAGTTCTATTGCCACAGCTAAATTATCACTTCATAAGATTTTTCATATTTCTCATCTTAAGTTGAATCTAGTTTATGTGGTCAATCATGTGACTCTGGTAATTCAGTCTCATTTACTTCCAATTATCATGTTCAGGATCCACGCTCCAAGAGAATGATTGTGAAAGGTTGTGAAAGGATTATGTATTAGATGAATCAACAGCACCAAATATTGCAGCTTCCACCAATTTTTCTTTTCATTTGTCATTCGTCATCTAGTTTTCTATATGGCATTCTCATTTGGGTTATGCATCATATTCTCGTTTATAATATGTAGTTTATATAGGAACATAACAAAATTATACACTCGTGATATCTCTATCTATAGTGGTTTAAAATTAACAAATTTTTTTGCATTGCTTTTTAATAAAAGTATTTCATTTTCTATTGAACAATTTGTCTTGGTTCATTTGATGTATGGTGGCCTTCCCCAATTGCCACAAAGATGGCTCTTGATACTATATTTCCTTTATTGATGATAACACTCATTATTATTGAGCTTATCTTATAAAACATAATTTTGATTTTCTGAATATTTATAATACACTTCGTGCACTTATCTAAAACCAAGACTTGACTATAAAGTGTTTTAGATGTGATTTTGGGAGAGTATACTTCTAATAAATTTCTTAACTTATTTTTGATGATACAATTCATCAAGCTCTTTGTAGAAATACTCCTAAAAAATGGTTTGCAAAAAGAAAACATAAGCATTTTTTTTTTACACAACCTGCTCTTTCTTATTGTTTACACTTCAATATAATTCTGGGGAAAATCTACTATAAATTCAATTAATAGAATCCTATCGTCCCACATCTCAAGTCTATCATCCCTTGAGAGGATATATGTTTATGCTCCTGATTACATTTCTCTATAAGTCTTTGGTTTAACAAGCTTTGTCACTCGTCATCACCAAGAATATATTAAGTTGTCTTCTTGCTCAACTATTTGTGTTTCTTGATTTATGGTGAGGGTCAAATAGAATATCATTGCTTTGATCCTACAACTTAGAAATCGTTTGCCTCGTCGTATTTTCTATCTTGGGCATATTCCTTTCTTTTCGATTCCATCAAATCCTCCTAATATATCAAAAATTGATCATGTTCGCATTAATCATTTCTTTGACGATAGTATTCTTCTTAATATTGATATTTTGGCTCCTAACAATACCACAACTACATCCACTTCTATGGCCACCCCAACACCTTCTGAGACTATGGATTTAGTGCCTCGCCACACTCAGTGCACACAAAAGTCAACCAAATTTTATTTACTCCTCTTATTTCCATTCTTTTACATCATTTTTAGACCATATTCATAATTTTTCAAAGCCTCGATCTTATAAAGAGACATGCTTCATCCCCTTTGGCAATAGGCTATGATTGAGAAACTTTTTGCACTGAACAAAACAAATACCTGGGAGTTACAACATCTACCGCCATGAAAATGTGCAATTGGCTCTCGTTGGGAGTATAACATCAAAACTAAAGTAGATGGGTTTATTGAGCGGTATAAAGCATGATTGATTGCTAAAGGGTACTCTCAATAAAGCATGGTTGATTGCTAAAGGGTACTCTCAACAATATGGTATAAAATATGAGGCGACTTATGCTACCACTATGAAAATAACTACTGTTGCACTTTTATTGTTGTTGCATCAATTTGTCAACGACCTAAAACTTAGATGGATGTAAAAATGACTTCTTAAAAGGTGATCTTCGAGAAGAAGTTTACATGGATTCCTCTCTCCCAGCATTTCCCATAAATCTAACGAAATTTACAAATTTAAGAAAGCATTATATGGCCTTAAACAAACACCTCATGCTTGGTTTGAGTTCTCTATTGTGCTTATTTCACTTGACTATAACTGCAATTTTTCTCTAGTACAATTCTACCGTATGTATTATAATTTCTTTATATGTTGAATACGTGACTGTTAAAGGTAATGATGCTGATGATATTACAGTGTTGATATCTGAATTAACATCTAACTTTGAAATAAAAGGTTAAGATCATCTTTTTTTTGTGCGTGTGTGCGTGTGTGTATAGATGTAGCTCATGATCCTACATGCTATTTTCTCTCATATTGTAAGCATACAACTGACATCCTTGAGGTTGCTCGTCTTACTGATAGTAGAATTGTTGGTACTCCACTAGAGCTCAATGTTTGATACTTTCTTTTAAATGTTACACCTTTAACAATCCATATGACCCTACTTTAGAACGCAGTATTGTTGTTTGCTTGATTTCTCTTACCATTACACAAACGAAGTATTGCTTATGATGTTCATATTGTCAAGCAATTGTATCTTCAACGTTCATTAGGTTGTTGCTCTTCATATTTTATATTATCTTCAGAGCATTCTTTTAGAATCTCTTATTTCCATCAACAACTTCCTTAAAGATGTGTGTTTATTATTATGCTGATTGGGCTAACAATCCAGTAGATCGCAAATCTACGACTAATTTCTACGTATTTTTTATACTATTAATTTTTTAAAGTGCAAGAAACAGAGGGTTGTTCCTTGATCTTCTATAGAAGCTAAGTATCGCGATACGACCTTTACAATCACTAAGATAATTTGGCTGCGATGATTATTTGTTGATATGGTTGTTGTTATCTATCTTCTCACTCCTCCGTATAGTGACAATAAAAGTGCTATTAAGATTGCTCGCAACTCAATTTTTCATGAGAGAAATAAACATATCAAGATTAACCATCATCTCACTCATCATCACACCTTTTATGCACCACTCTTATGAAACTCTTAGTTTGCCTTTTATTTCTTCTTCTCTATAGATTGCATATTTTTTTATAAAGACTCATTTGCTTCATGTTTTCACTACTTAGTAGGTAAACTCTTGATAGTTCTTGCAGTAGGTTATGAATTATAGGGGGATGTTAAAATTATTGAATTATTCACTACCATATAGTTATTAAAAAACGTGCCTAATATTTATAGTAGGAAACTATAATCATTCTTGATATAATATATCCTTATTATTAAGTATTTTTTTATTTTGATTTCCTTTATTACTCTATTCTATTGCATGTATATATGCACTCTTTTATCACATATTTCATAAATTCAATGAAAAGTATTACAATTCTAACTTTTCAATCAAACTTTACAGATATTTCTTAAACATCCATTTGCAATTCAAATATACAACTTGCAATATGGACAATCCAATTCTAGATGTACCTCAATCCATAGTGCCAGTTTGGGTCTGCCCTTGGTAACGTCATAATTCTTTAATTCAGCTAAAAAAAGTTGAAACCTCTCAATAAATGGAGCATATGCTATATCCACCTAAAATATACCACATCATTCAACAATCAGTCAGCAAGGAAAACAAATTAGAACAAAGAGGCATTATACTAAAACCCTCGCACTATATATCTGAACCCTTACCGCACTGAATTGGCCAAGGAAGAAAGGCCCATCACCAAACTTTGAAAGGGATTCTTCTATCTTGTTGAAAGCAGCCTCTGCAATGGACATGAACAACAAAATACATCAGAACTTCAGCGGATGAAAACATTTCATTATAAATCAAAACAATAATGAGAGATTGCAACTCACCAACATCTTCACTGACATCTCCCTTTGCGGGTAAGTCTCGAAATGAAGCAACGTTGAAGGAGTCACTGTAAGCCAGTAGCTCCTCAGCAAACTTCTTCTTTTCCGGATCCTAGTAATTTCCCATAATGCTTCTCAAAACAGAAGAAACTACAAACCAGCATTCAACTAATAAACAAAATGCAATTCAACTACTCTCACATCAGGAAACAAAGAAGGACCCTCAAAATGCTCATCGATATACTTGAGCAAATCCAAGCTCTCCCCCTTGACTTCATTGTTATGCTCGAGAGAAGGAACCTAATCATCAATTCAACCAGATAACAGAAACTCAATAAAGCATGAAAAGCAATCAATGGCTGAAAGGATCAGAGAAAGGTAAAATCTTTCATCTAATCACCCATACCTTATTTCCAGGATAAAGCTTCTCCTTGTACCAGGCAGGCCTGTTCTGCAGATCAAGAGGCACCAGCTTTATTTTGTCCTGCAACCCCTGCTCAAGAGCGCTCAACAATTTATTTCCTAAACCCAATTTATATACCTCAAAAAAAACAAAACAAAAAAAAAACTTAATTGGAGGGAAAATATTACCTTGTAGTTCCGAGCAATCCAGGTTCGTTGTGCAAAAGGGCAAATGTAAGCTATGTACAACCTAATCAACCAAATATTCGTCTCAACGTCAATAACCCAAAATCGGAACTCCCAAGTAAAAAAATAATCCAAAAAAGATAAATCTTACCTCGTTGTTCCATCAAACAGAGCAGGCGGCTCCGCAGTAGCATCCAGAGTCGGAGGTAGCTCCTCCTTGTAACTTCTGCAAAAAAAACTATTCAAGTAAGAAAACCGACCCCAAACTAATGGAATATGTAACAGAGAAATCTAGGGTTCAAAACTGACCCGGCGACGGCTGCGGCCATGGCAAAGCAACAAAACCCTCTCGTGCTTCAGCTTCGTACTGCGATGATGGCTGAAGAGAAACCAAGCTTGGATTTATAGAACGGGAAGGAGAAGAAGGGAACCGGGCGGTATGATTGGGGAGAATGCAGTACAATAAAAAAAACGTGGGAAGCAGAAAGGACAGGAGAAATGATTCGTTGCTACTTTTAGTTATTCGGCTCCGCTAATTAAAGAAATTAGATAAAAACTTTTTATTTACTTTATGCTTATTATTTTATCAAATGAAATGTAAATTATATATAAATATTAAAAATATTTAAAAGAAAATTATATCAAAATACATTTATAATTATTAAATTTAAATTTAATATGATAAAAATTATTTATGTATAATATTTATTTTCAAATAAATTTAATGAGTCGGTAAAATGTATATTTTACATCTCAATGCTCTAAAAAAATTTAGCTCTCAATTATAAGAGAAGTAAGATCAGAAATTCTTACTGGAAAATTCTGAAATAGAAAAAATCATGGGGTTTGACCTAGTTAAGAAATCAACTATGTAGTAAGTGATAAAAGAATCCATATTTCTTCAACATTGAAGAAGAGTATTTTAAACAAATGTCTAATTTTTTTCTAAGGGATATTACAGAAATCAAGTGTCCACAGATGAATAGTTAACACATGATAATAGGGCTTGATTTTCCCAATAGGGATTATGGAAAAAATTTGTGTCTGCAAGTGGACAATTGCGACCCAACAACGGGATTAAATCTTGACAAGAAACTGAAAATGGTGGTAATTTTTTATTGTGATCGTTGGTGGCAATGATGATTGTCGGCAACAATAACTGGTGGAGGTCAACGACGACAATGGTCATAAAATGCAAGAGAATTCTCTCTAATTATCTTTCTCATCTCCCTCTCATGTAAAAAATGAGGAGTCTATTTATATATATATATATATTTTTTACAGTGACTTGCTATATAAATATTGAGAAGAACTATAGCAAATTTGGACTGCTTCTTCCGACGGTTTATATTGATTCCCTTGATCATGATGTGTTCGTAAAAAATTTAAGTACTTTAATGATGTCAGAATTTAGTTATATTGAGCTCGTTGGATTCATCTTATCGAACCGCTCGACTCTACTATAAGCATGTCGTATTGGGAGATTATTTAGTTATCTAATTAATGATTTAAGGCTTTAAAATATGCATCAATCCCAACTCATTTGGGCTTGAATTGAACCGATTTTGATATCGTCGACATCTCATCGAAATGTTCAATTTGACTATAAGTTCGTTTAAATCAAAGTTTGTATGATCCCAAATTTAATTTTGAAGTTTATAATTTAAAATATGCATCAAGTTTAGTGCTCGATCAAGATTATATATATAGCTCAACTTAATAAATAATAAATATATAAAATTAATGAATTTTAAGATAATTATAAAATTGAATAAGATCCAACGCAAATAATAACATTTTTGACAAATCTACTTTAAAGTTTTGTGTTAATTGAATAAAAACTCATTCATTATATATATAATTTGAATAATCTAAAATTTCTTAAATAATAACTTAAACTCCTAACTAACAAATCAAATGAGCTGCATCCCGTCAAAGTATTCAATTAATATATATCTCTAGCGTACTGTTTGAAGAAAGAATGTGACTGCTTTTCCGGCCCGGTTCGAATTTCAGGCGTAACCATAATATAAGCAAATTGATTCAGTGGGGACATTTATATGAAATCACGAGGGCAAAGAATGAATATTTTATTTTTACACATGAGAGGAGGATCTTAAGGTTTCGTTTGGGAGGATTTTTTTACTATTTTCTGAAGTAAAATTTTAGTACAAAAATTTAATTTTTATACTAGAAATATGCTTCAAGCAGCAGTAAAAAAGCCGTCCCAAATGAAGCCTAAGACTTTAGCTTCGTTTGGAATGGCTTTTTTACCGCTTCTTGAAACAACTTTTTATTACAAAAGATTTAATTTTTATATTAAAAATCTACTTCAAAAAGCAAGAAAAAAGCTGTCCCAAACGAAGCCTTTGTTTGGGATGAATTTCCTTCTGCCTCTTAAAATAGCTTTTGACTATAAAAATTTTAACTTTTGTATTAAAAAGCTGCTTTAAATAGCAATAAAAATATTATCTCAAAAGAAATGTAACAGCTTTTTTGCTGTTTAAAATAACTTTTTAATAAAAAAAAATTGAATTAAATTTTTTTTTACAAAAAAAGTTATTTAAAAAAAAAAAATTATCCCAAATAAAAACTAAGAAGCATAACTGATGCGCTGTAGGATTAGAGTCTATGTTACTATGTTAGTTTCATAAAATTTTATAGTAATTGAGATAATTTATCATTTTAATATTGTGATGATTTCAACTATACAGATAAAATAAATTATGTACATGCAAGTTCCCTTTTCTTCGTCAGCAATCTGATGTAGACTGTAGAGTAACAGTTTTTCGCATTTTCCATCACATGGGACACAAATCATCAATCAAAATTCGAACTTTTCCATGACTAGCAGAAACTTAACGAACAATTACAATTCAAATAACTCAGCAAAGATGGTGGAAGCAAATCATTTATTTAACGGCTAGTACAGTAACAGAGATTCTAGAAACGCAAATTCATGCAAACACCATGACTAGGCTTCCAGATGGAACACAAAACACCTGCATTATAAGTTAGCAACTCAACAATATAAGCAGTACAGTTAAGAGAGTGGCATAGTAAGATGCGATAAAGGAAAAATTATTTTGTGCAGATCCGGATAGCATCTGGAGACCAATCAGAACGTGCCACATCACTTTTTTTTCTCGGTACCACTTGTACCGGGTGATGTGCCACGTTCTGATTGGCATCCGGACCGTCCGGTGTCCACACAGAATAATTCCTCGTGAGAAAAGCAAAATAAGAACAAAACAAGTTCTGGATCTGGCAAAAAAAGAAATGATTTGAGCTGCTTACAACACCTGAAAGGAAAAAGGAAGATGCCGAAATCTTCAGTTGATCTGGAAAGGAAAATGGAAGTGGGAAACTGTTCAGTTAATTTAAACGACATATTTACAAATCCATAGGAAGAATTAGCCTGACTGTCATTATACTATGAAAAAAAGAGAAGAACTGCAGTAAATTGAGCTGCAAATCATGTAGAAACTTACCCCAAGCTTCTTCTTAGCGCCAGCAATCAACTCTTGAGGATCACGTCGTGTTTGAGAATAGGCATCTATCTTGTTCAGCTCCTATATAAGTTAATTTCTAAATATTTATTTACACACTAAATAAAATTATTTTTATCTATTTATTATTATAAATAATCTAACATGAAAGACCTATATGTATAAATTTATATTTAAATATATAACATAAGTTAGCAAAAATTTATAGGCTTATATATAAATTATATTTATATTAAATATGAATTAAAATTTAAAGAATGAAGCATTGAAGATGTTTAAATTTATAATTATTAAAGATATTATTTATATATGAATTTTATTTATTTTTAATAATATATTCGTATTATTGTATGTTATTATATCATGTAGATCATATTTAAATAATTTAAATATTTATTATATCCTCTGATTCAACTTCGGTGGAACTATTAAACCTTGAATATCTCCTTCTTTCGATTTCATGTCCGATCTGATTTTTACAAACTTACACATTGATAAGTTATTTCTTCAATATCTACAGAGTCCTAACACTTGATAAATATCTTCTGTTTGAAACAATTTAGAAAACAAAATGGATAAATTAGACTTTAATAAGATTGGTGAGTTATTTCTTTCACCCAAATATATGGTGTGCTTTTTTTTATCAATCCTTTGTAACCATCCGTTTGCAACACAACAAATAATAAAGAAAAGCCGATTGTAGACGTACCTCAATCCATAAGGCCAGTTTGGGCCTGCCATTGGTAATATCATAGTTCCTTAAAGCAGAGTAAAAAAGTTGAATCCTCTCAATAATTGGAGCATACGCAATATCCACCTAAAAGATAGCACATTATTCAACAAACAGATGAGAAGACCACCAAGTCACAACAAAGAGGCATAATTTGTAAATCCTCCAGTTAAAATTTGAACTCTTACCACACTGAATTGCCCAAGGAAGAAAGGCCCATCATCAAATTTTGAAAGGGATTCTTCTATCTTGTTGAAAGCAGCAACTACAGAGAACATGAACCAAGAAATATACCAGAGATTAATCAGATAAAAACATATTATTATTGTTGCATGTGAAAATATTCATCTTAACTTTGTATGAAGATACAATACACTCATAAAGAGAGGAGTTGGCTAAAATACACCAAAACTTTTACATGAAAAACCTAGAAGAGAGAAAAAAAATAGGGTTTGGCTCAGAACATCAACGACATTAATTGGAGGACCATAATTAGGCGATGAAAGTCGGAGGATTGCACTGCGATAATGATTGTCAGAGGATCATAATCACGCAATGGTTGTCTGAGGACCGTAGTCAACCGCTTGGGTCTAAGAACTGTAGTTGGGGAACTATAGTTGGAGGACTATAGTAGGACAACATAGTTAAGTGATGCTAGTTGAAGGGCCGTAATAGGACGATCATGCTCAGAGGACCAAAATCTAGCAGCAGTGGTCAGGGACTATAGTATGGTGCAGTGGTCAGAGAATCATAGTCTAGTGTCATTGTTTGAAGGACTATAGTGCGGCGACAAAGGTTGTGCCACGGAGGTTGAAGGACCGTGTTTGGGGGGCAGCCATACAATATGAAAGCGACAGTAGAATGGTGATCCAACGATGGCGATCAGGCGATGGACCAATGGCAGCAGTTGGGCAGTGGTTCATCAACATATGTTCAACATTTATGGTTGGGCGACGGTGATCCGACAAGGGCGATCGCATGGTGGTGGTCTGACGTTGGTAGTTGGCTAAAAGTAGTGTTCCGCCGATTGTCGTCAAAAAGTAGTAGTCCAACAATGGCAGTCAGGCGTGGCAGTCCAACACTTGTTGTTTAAGGATGGCTAGTGGTCTGACAATTGTGTTCGTGAGGCGGTAGTTTGACGACTGTGTTTGGATGGTGGTCTAACGGTTGTTGTTAGGTGATAGTCTAATAGCAACAATCGAGTGATGGCTCGGTGACAGTGGTCGGGCGACAAAAAAATAACGGCAAGGAAGATCCAACGACAGTGATGCATGGGTTGAGCTCTTAGATTCTTAGTCTCTGAGTTCTCAAGAATCTAAAGCTTAAGTCCATGCTCTAGCCCATTCATGTAGATTGTGAGGGCTTATTTTTAGATTTTTGAGAGTGGCACTCCCAGTAAATATAACCAAAATCTAGAACAATCAATGGGACGGCTTGTACTGATTCATTTGACCATAAACTATTCTTTCAGCATTTAACAACCTTAATGATATCATAATTAAGCTATCTTGGGCTCATTATATGCATGTCGTCTAAATAATCGATTTGACTACAAGCATGCAATATTTGAAGATCGTAAAATTTCCACTATATCTAGGCTCACTCATACTCAAATTAGACCACTTTTGTTGGGTTTCTTGTCGAGACGTTCGATTCAAGTATAAGTTTGCTAAAATCAAAGTTAGAATGATTCAAATTTTAATTTCGGAAGTTTTTAATTCAAATATGCATTGAGATTCTTGCTGGATCAAAACTATTTTTTATGATATATCGATTGCCTCAACATTCAGTGACAGAGGACAGAGGATCGTAGCCGGGCAACCTAGGTGGTCAAAACACAATCGTGGTTGCAACAAAAATCTAGAAAACTCCATTGGTTGGCCGTTGGCCAAATTGTTCTATTGGCATTTAAGGTTTTGTTTGCAACATCTTTCATCTGCTTTTGTGGTAAGAAAAGCAGTTAGTAAAAAATAATGTGTATTTCAAAAATAATTTTTTTCACCGTTATTTCAAAATTTTACCTTTAAAAGTTATTTTTGAAAAATAATAATTTTGAAACAATGGTTAAAAAAGGAGCTTTTAAAAATAAAAATAAAAAAGCTTAAGCTGCGCGAAAAAATCCTAAGAGCCTTAATACGTCAAAATCAAGCTATATATTGGGCTTATTGATTGAGACATTTGATTTGATAATAAACATAAAAATTTTGAAAATAGTTTCATCATCCAATTAGAATCATAAAGTTTTCAATTATGTTTAAAGTACTCCATCTGGTTTCATTTAGACTCGGATTAGACCAATTTTATTATCCTCGGATTTTTCTTGTCATAACATTCAATTCAACTATAAATTTATTGAAATTAGAGTTAGAATGATCCAGAATTTAATTTCGAAAACTTTCAATTCAAATATGCAAGGAGATTCTTGCTCCATCATCAAGGCATATTTGAATGACGCAACAATTATATAAATCAAAACAATAATCAGAGGTTGCAACTCACCAACTTCTTCACTGACATCTCCCTTTGCAGTTAACTCTCGATATGAAGCACCAATGACGGACTCGCAGTAAGCCAGCAATTCCTCAGCAAACTTCTTCTTTTCTGGATCCTACCAATTTTCGACAATAAATATAATTAAAACTGGACTTCATCTAGCTAAAAAAAATTGCAATCAATTCTCCTACATCAGGAAGCATAGAAGGCCCCTCAAAATGCTCATCTAAGTACTTGAGCAAATCCAAGCTTTCCCCCCTGACCTCATTGTTATGCTCCAGAGAAGGAACCTAATCACAATTCAGCCAGACAGCAGAAGCTCAATAAAGCATGAAAAGCTATCAACGATCAGATAAAGGTAAAATCTTCAATCCAATCACCCCATACCTTATTTCCAGAATAAACCTTCTCCTTGTACCAGGCAGGCCTGTTCTGCAGATCAATAGGCACCAGCTTTATCTTCTCCTGTAAACCCTGCGTAAGAGATCGCAAACTATTTTCTAAATCCCATTTCTCCCATTAAAAACCAGAAAATTAACTTAGTTAGAGGGAAAGTATTTACCTTGTAGTTCCGAGCAATCCAGATGCGCTGCGCATACGGACAAGTGTAAGATATATACAACCTGCAACCCAAAACAAATCAATCATCACAACAACGAAGACACGAAACCCTAAACCGTAAGATGCTGTTTGGCTACAAATAAGAGTAAATTCAGACTAAAAAAAAGAATTCATATAGCTTAAATCCTAGCTAAACTCTGGTTAAACACCGCAAACAAACAGCATCTAATCAAAATAAAACATTTCAGAAAATCCGATAGCAAACTTGCCTTGTAGTTCCATCAAACAGAGCAGGCAGCTCCGCGGACGAATCCAGCGGCGGAGGAAGCTCCTCCTTCGTGTTCCTGCAACAAGGAATTATACAACTTAAATCCGTATGTAACCCGAACAAATGGAATAGGAAAGAAGAGAAATCTAGGGCTAACTGACCCAGCGACGGCTGCGGCCATGGCAAAGCAAAAAACGCTACGCTTGTGCTTTAGCTCCGGGAATGTTGATGGCCGGCTAAGTACCCAACCTTGGATTTATAAAGCGGCAGGAAAAAAGGAGGGTGACTATGTCATTTAAAAATTAAAAATTTGAAGGATTTGCAAACATATTATATAATTTAAATATATTTATATATTTAATATTTATTTATGTAATATTTAAAATTTTAAATCACATTTGAATTTTATTCATATTAATTTATAAAGATAATATATATATTTTTATATAAATATTTTGATATAATTGAGATAAAAATTAAAAATATTATATGAATAATCATAAAATTATAATTATTAAAAATATAAATTCATAAAAAGTTTATGATATATCTCTATATTACTCCCTTTTTAACTATTTATTTTCCCTCATCAAAGAGCAAGCAGGATAGCATCTGATGGACCATTTGATTTAAGGAAAAAATTTGTAATGTTAAGTTTTGTACAAATTAGATTTATTTTAAGATAAATATTATATTAATTTAATTAATCAATTATATATTAAATATATCTTAAATTAAATTTAATTAGATCAAAATTTTAATTAAAATATTGTAATTAAAAATTTTCCTTCAATTTATATTTATTGTAGTATACTTAGTTTTATGTTGTCCAATTTTTTATATGATCTTGATATTTTTTTCAAAAAGAAAAACATCAAAGGTAGCCATATGTTCTATCTTACTTGCATATGCATATTGACATAAGCATATAAGAAAATAGGCATAAATGACATAATATAATAGGATATGTACATGATACATGATATGAATAATAAAATTGATGCAAGGGCATATGATATACATGAAATACATGTTCCATTACATATGACAGAAATACATGATATAAATATTACATCGAATATAATAGAAATACTTGATATTGAAGAACTTGATGGTTCTTGAATCTCACGGTTTCTTGAATGAACCGGAGGAAGAAGACAGTAAGGGAAAAGTAAAGTAAAGTGAATTCTATCTTATTATCCAACAGATACAGAGACGTTCTCTATATATAGGCGTACATGGTTCAGGTGTTAGTACATTAAGTATTACAGTTTTTCCATAGACTCATATAGTATGTGTTTCAGCTTTTGTCTTCTAACATCCCCCTTCAAACTAATGGGTCAGGGATGACACTTAGTTTGGTTCTAAGGAGCTGAAATCTTGGAGTAGAGAGTGGCTTTGTTAGTATATCAGCAATCTGGTCCACTGTGCTAATGGGCAAGAGCCGTATGTTGTGATTTGTAATCTGGTCACGAACAAATCTTTGATCTATTTCGATGTGCTTTGTTCTCGCGTGAAAAACTGGATTGTTGGCTAGAGCAATCGCCGAAGTGTTATCACAAAACAGATCTGTGGGTTGATCGGAGGAGATGCCGAAGTCTGCTAGGATCCGTTTCAGCTAGATTATGTCAGCAGTGAGCGAGGCCAGCGATCGATACTCTGATTCGGTTGAGGAGCGTGCCACGGTATGCTGTTTCTTGACTGTCCATGATATAAGATTTGTACCGAGGAACGAGCAGTATCCGGAAGTTGATTTTCGGGATATTGGGTCACCCGCCCAATCCGCATCTGAAAAGGATTGCAAAATAAGGTTATTGCGAGTAATTTGTAAACCAAATGATAACGTACCTTTTATATATCGAAGCAGTCTCTTTAGAAGATATGTATGTTCAGGTTTTGGATCGTGCATGTGTTGCGAGAGTAGGTTGACACTGAAGGCAATGTCAGGGCGAGTTAGAGTTAAGTATTGTAGTGCACCGGTTAGTTTCCTGTACATTGCCGGATCAGAAATTACAGTATTTGGTGAGAATACCGAAGGAAATTTGGTGACTGTTGGGTTGGCGAGAGAGTTGCAGTTGAGCATATCCGCCTGTTGGAGAATGGAGGATGCATATTGCTCCTGAGATAGAAAATATTGGTCATTTTGTTTGGTTATACGAATGCCCAAAAACATGTTTGCTTCTCCAAGATGCTTCATGCTAAATTGACGATTCAGCTGATCGAGAAGCCTTTGAATGGCTGTCGAATTGTCCCCCGTGACTAATATATCATCTACATAGACTAGAAGATATATTGTAACAGAATTTTCTTTGAATATAAGTAGCGATTGATCCGATTTGCTATGCGAAAACCCGATGGACAGCAAGTATGTAGTAAGTGTAGTATACCACTGTCTCGGTGCTTGACGAAGACCGTAGATAGCTTTGTTCAGCCGACAGAGATGGTTAGGATTTGTAGCGTCCTCAAATCCCTTCGGTTGCGTCATGTATACTGTTTCTTGTAGTGTGCCATGCAGGAAGGCGTTGGCTACGTCAAGCTGTTGGACTTACCAGTTGTGATGAAGAGCCACAGTTAGGAGAATCCGAATTGTAGGAAACTTTGCTACAGGACTGAACGTTTAAATGTAGTCGATGCCATGTTCCTGATGATTTCCTAGTGCCACCAGACGTGCCTTGTAGCGGGCAATGGATCCATCAGAATGATACTTTGTTCTAAAGGTCCACTTACATCCCAGTGGAAGTGTGCCTTTCGGAGGCTCGACAAGGGACCACGTGCCTTGTTTTTGAAGCGCAAAGAACTCCGCTGCCATGGCATTCCTCCATTCAATATGTTTGGATGCTTCAGTGTAGTTGGTAGGGTCTCTGTTATAGTTAGATGGAGATTTAATATGGAGCAGATTAAGCCTGACGAGTGGCTTAAGCTTCCCAGTCTGCCGTCTGGTGATCATTGGATGACTAATTTGTTCGGGGATATGAGTGGGAGACTCAGCGATTTGTTGAATAATTTGAGGAGCAGGCGAGTGAATTGGCGGGTTGATATCCAGATCTTGTGGACAACCTTGTTTGGCAGAGGAAATACTTGTGCCAGTATTTGGAGCTTTAGTATGAGAAGGCTTGCTGGAAATAGGTTGTAAGAGCAGAGGATTTGTTATTGCGGTCGGCATTAAGGTTGGCTGCAATGAGGTAACGTTAGAAAAAGGAAAATTATTTTCATTGAAAGTAACATGTCTAGACATAAAGATTTTGTTAGTAGATGTGTCAAGACATTTGTATCCCTTATAGTTTTCGGAATAGCCAAGGAACACGCATGAGTGTGCTTTCGGTTGTAGTTTGTTCCGAAGAGCGCTGGGAATGAGGGGGAAGCACGCACATCCGAAAGTACGAAGGTGAGTGTAGTCCGGTTGATGATTGTATAGTAATTCGAACGGAGACTTATTGTTTGTAGTGGGCGATGGCAAGCGATTTATGAGGTAGGCGGAAGTGAGTGTGGCGTCAGGCCAATATTTGTAGGGAACCTCGGCAGTGAATAACAGAGAGCGCGTTGTTTCTAGTAGATGCCTGTGCTTTCTTTCAGCTATGCCGTTTTGCTCGGGCGTGTATGGACACGAGAGTTGATGGAGAATGCCATTATCTTTGAGAAACTGAGTTAGCTGATGGTTTGTGTATTCTGTGCCGCCGTCCGTGCGGAGACATTTAATCTGGTGAGATGTAAGTTTCTCAATAAAATTCTTAAAATTAATGAAGATATGCGTTACTTCAGATTTGCATTTCATAGGAAAAAGCCAGACAAATCTTGTAAAATCATCAACAAACAAGACATAAAATTTGTAGCCCTGACTTGACTCGACTGGAGCCGGGCCCCAAACATCCGAATGAATGAGTTGAAGCGGAATGCGTCGTCGATTTGACGATTTCTCGAAAGGCAATTTATGACCTTTTGCGAGATTACAAGGACGACAGACAGTAAAAGAAGAATCTATATGAAGATTAGAGTTACATTTCTTGATAATATCAAGAATTTTGGAATTTGGGTGACCCAAACGGTTATGCCATGAGATGTGGCACTTAGTGGTAGCCTGTAGAGCCGCTGTGGTGGATGAAGAGGATGGCGTCCGAAGTGGATACAAGCCATCAAGACATGGTCCTCGGAGTAGAGTTTGCTGCGTCTGCAAATCCTTAAATATAAATTCATTAGGCTCAAAAGTAATTGAGATGTTATTGTCCTTAGTTAACTTAGATATAGATAATAGATTATATCGGAGCTCAGGGATATGTAGAAGTTGTGCGAGATCAAACTTACGATGATTTGTATGTAACAAACCTGAACCGGAGTGGGCGATTTGGAGTGAGCGCCCGTCTCCGATTGTAACATTATCCGTTCCTTGATACGAATTGGTGACCGACAGATTATCTAAGGAGTTGGTAAGATGGGATGTCGCTCCCGAATCAAGGTACCAATGTGTTGTAGATTGATCTTGCACGGCTGCTAGAGCCCTGTTATTGTTCCTGGGAACATATTGATCATTTAAGCGATGCCAACAATTCACCGCCGAATGTCCTTTCTTGTAGCAGATCTGACAAATAGTAGCTGTGTCCGCTGAAGAGCTGGTAGACGATTGAGGGTTGCGGTAAGATCTTCCTCGTTGTCGCCGGCCACGCCCTCGTTGCGTGTATAACGCAAGATTCGGATCTGCCGAGGGAATGCTTCTTGCAGCGTCTGCGGCAATGTTGACTTCCTCACTGAGTAACAAAGGATAGAGATTATCCAGGCTTATAGGAGTGAGCATAGTACGAATTGAGGTTTTAAATGCTTGGTATGATCCCGGTAATCCATTCAAGATATAAAGAATTATATCTTCGGTGTCAACGACAGAACCAGCGGCCGCTATTTGATCCACGAGCGACTTGATTTCCGTTAGGTACTGGGTCATTGTGGAAGTTTTCATGGAAATGTTGTGGAGTTCGTTTTTGAGTTGGATTACTTTGGAGCGATTTGTGGATTGGAAGCGGGTTTCAAGGGCTGTCCATATGGTGGCAGTGGATTCGAGGTGAATAATGAATGGTAAAATGGACTGCGAGATGGTAGAACACACAGCTGCCGCAAGATTTTGATCCGTGTGAACCCATTGTGTATATTTGGGGTTCGGGGCAAGAGAATCATCAGATTTCTTGATCTGTTTAGCAGGTTGGGAGAAGAGAGGATCAAGAAATTTTTCGAACCCATTTGCGCGGAGAAGTTTGACGATCTGAGAGCGCCATAACGAGTAGTTTTCCGCTGAGAGTTGCGTTGGCACTATGTTCTTTAGATTTGCCATGACAAACTTCAGGGATGATGGAATGATCGTTTCTTCGGCGATCTCTGTGTCCGAGTGTTCTTCCATTTGATACGTTGTTGAGTTTTCCATTCTTTTCTGCGCTTCCTTTCACCCCCGCTCTGATACCATGAAGAACTTGATGGTTCTTGAATCTCACGGTTTCTTGAATGAACCGGAGGAAGAAGACAGTAAGGGAAAAGTAAAGTAAAGTGAATTCTATCTTATTATCCAACAGATACAGAGACGTTCTTTATATATAGGCGTACATGGTTCAGGTGTTAGTACATTAAGTATTACAGTTTTGCCATAGACTCATATAGTATGTGTTTCAGCTTTTGTCTTCTAACAATGTATATTATTCCAAAATAATTATTGTCCTCAGATAGTGATTTCCAAATATTATTTCCTAAAACACTAACAACATCATGACTCGCACACATGAATTTTGCTATGCTTCATGGAAGCTATTTGAAATCCATATCTTAGATACTTCTAAATAATCAATTGAGTCATTTAAAATGTATAGTTGGACTTGTGGTTTTGATTCTGCGGTATTGACTTTTTTCTAAGGATGTGCTACTGACGAACGCAGCATGGATGCTTCAGCATGGGAGAAGGCTTTGAGACTCCTACGAGTAAAAAGAGACAGCAATCCTGCTGCCATCCACTCAATTGTGGTAAACATTTGGTTCAAGTTATTCAACCAATTCATTTTTCCTGCATTCAGCTTTTTTGATACCATTTTTTTCTTAGAATATTTTTTTGCTTATACTGTTCTAATTTATTGTGGCGAAGTTCTGCAGAATTAGCCATTTTCTCTAATTCTAAATGTTGTCAAAGGCTTGCTTTGGAAGTTATCTAAATCAACTAAGTTCCAATTTGTGCCATGGAAAATTGTGATTTCTCATGTTGACATAGTACAATTGTTTTATGAACTACAAAGCAATGATCCTAAGATTTTGCGTGAGGATGCTAATGTTATGTTGGAAAAAGTGCCTAGTGATATTAAAAATATTGTAAAAGATTTGCTTGGAGTTTTAAAGGGAAAAACTTCTAATAGTAAAAATAGTTGGTGGTGAAATCCAAATGTGCAAGAAAAGATAAAAAATAAGAAGATTTGTATTAAAAATAGTTGGTGTGGTCCATGGCTTCCATTAGTTTTATGTTGTCCAATTTTTTATATGATCTTGATATTTTTTTCATGTAATTTTAAATATTATGCCTAATTTAGAGCAAGACATCCTTCTCATTTCTATCATAAATCAGAACACTCTATCTAATGACCAAAGTTGATCATCTCTGATCTCTTAATATTTTTTTAGGCATCTCACTATATGATTCTTCTCATCATGAAGCTTCAAGAATTTCTTATAACTCTTTAATTAGCCTTAAAAAATTTTCAATTATAATTTTGAGAGGTTGATTTTGATCTATTCAGACTCAGATCAAGACGGTCCTGCGATCGTTGGATTAGCCCTATCTTGACCTAATTTGGGCTCTATGTTCAGTAAAAATAATATTCAAAAGATTAGAATACAAATCACTTTCAAAAATTAATCAAAGCTTTGTTTCAGGCAAATTTTTTTATTACTTTCTAAAATAATTTTTTTAATATAATATTTATTAAGAACAACGAAAAAATAATGCTTGATTGTTATCCCAAAAAGAATGCAACCGATTTTTGGACGGTCGGATTTTGAAAGGCATCTTTCATGATGAGCCCGTTGGTGGCATAATTAGCTTATTGATTCTTTGGGGACATTTATATGAAGACAAAATTAGAACACTTAGAAGAGTGCATAATTTTTTTTTAATGATTGGAATATTGGATAAGGAGATTGAAAAAGATAAGGTGTATACATAAAATATAACTATTTGTTTTATTATGAACTGTAAAATAATGTATTATTTTATTTGGTGGCTAATTTTTGTCATATTGATAATACAATATAAATTATACACTCAATGAAGGCAATGATGCTTAGAATCCTTTTGTGATTAGTTAGTTTGGCAAACGGGTGCATAGAGCGACAATGCCTGTGAAAATCAATGGATAGTCATATTTTGATATATATTTTTTTAATTAAGGTTTCGTTTGGGACGGCTTTTATATTGCTTCTTAAAACAATTTATTAGTTTAAAAATTAAAATTTTTATACTATAAAACTGCTTTAAGAAGCAGTAAGAAAGCTATCTCAAACGAAGCTTATGATACCTAATTAGACCGGCTATAAATATAAAAAAATTATGATAGATGATTAACAATGTTGTAACTAGTGTTATCCAAGTTAAAATGGACAGACCAAAAACCTTCCTCATGGATCAATGAAGTCTTGACCCTCATCCCAATTAGGGGTGTCAAAGAATGATCTGACTTGCCAACTCGACTTGAAGCTTTCCAACCCAACCTAAAAAAAAAAAAAAAAAAAAAAAAAAAACGAGTTTGATTTGATTTATTTAATAAATGGGTAGAGTTTTGATTATGTTTTTGACTCATTTATTAAATATGTCATGTTCGGGTTGACCAACCAACTCATTTTTTACTCAAAAATAACATGTATAATATTTTTTTGTTATTTTTTTACTTAATGGTATAATTTTCTTATTTTTAATCAAATATCCCAAAATTTATAGCTAATAAGTTATTAAAAAAAATTTTAAGTTATACAATATTTTTTAAAACCAAAACGAGTTAACGGGTCGGCTTCTAATCATTCAAGTGGCTATCAGGTTGGGTTCTATTTGAAATTTTTGACTAGTTTATTAAACGGGTCAGGTTCATATTGAATTGATTATGATCAGATCAATTTTGGGTCCGATCCGAACCCAATTCATCAATCCGTTTTAACACCCCTAGTCTCAATTGAGATTTCACACCTCACATTTTTCTTATCACGCCGCTCTTGCAACCCCCATCAATCCGCAATCATCGATCGTGATTTTTGTAGGCCCCATTGATCGAACATCAACATCTTTCCTACTCCAATCCATACAATTTTTCATTCACTTTCGTTCGAGAATCTATGCTTCCTCTTTTGACCAAAAGTCGACAACATTGATTTCTCTCCTCCCCATTTTCTTTTTTACCCAAGCAAACAAAAATAGCAAGTGATCCTTCTTCTTTCTCTCCTCCTCCATTATCTTTCCTTATTTTCCCCTCAAACATTTAAAATGTATTTGCTCATTATTTCTTCTTTTAATGAGACAATTAATTATTTTATTCCTATTTTAATTAGATTAGTGCTACGATTAGGTTTAATTAGATGCATTTTAGTCTATTATTAATTTGATGATGAGTTGGACAAAATTATAATTAATTAGTTCAGAGTTTAGAATGTTCTACTGTATATATTTATGGATATTTTCTATGCTCATAATGAAATAATCAGCTGAGCAAATTGATTTATCAATATTTATTGGCCCAAAAACTCATTCATATTAAATTGATTTCTATAATAAATATATTTTTATGTATATTTCTTTTATTGAATGTATTAATATTATTATTTTTTTTAAATTACATTCTATTATAAAATAACAATTATCATTTTGAATATATAATACATGTTAGAAACTTATTATGAAACACTTAGAAACTCTATGGATATTGGTCGGTTAGACCTCCGAGGCCATAAAATATTAAAATGTTAGCTCTATAGGAAATCATTCTAATTTCTTATTATTCTCTAAAGTAGCTTTCCAGTACAAATTTTATTTTTTCAAAAAAATTATTATATTGAAAAGCTACTTTAAAAAGCAGTAAGAAAACCGCCCCAAACAAGATCTAAATCCCGCCTTAACACTCACAACCACCCTCTTGAAAATCATTTTGACATGAATAATAGCTGCTTGATGCATCTGATACAGTTAAATCTTTGCATGTTCAGTTCTTTTTCTACAGCAATTGATGTAGAAACAGACTTTTGCATTTTCCATCACATTGTACAGCAATCAACAACAGAAATTCAAACTTTTTCATTAGTAGTAGACCGTTGGAAAACAATTACAACTAAAATAACTCGGCAGGGATACTGAAAGCAAATCATTTATTTCACAACTTATACAGTAATAATATTATTCCAGACTTGCAAATTCATAGTTTAGGCCTCCAGCTCAAATACGCGACACCTGCAACATGAATAGCAACTCAACAATATAAGCAAATACAACAAAGAGGATGACATAGAAATTAAGGCTTCGTTTGGGACGGCTTTCTTATTGCTTCTTAAAGCAATTTTTTAGTATAAGAATTTTAAGTTTTGCACTAGAAAGCTGCTTTAAGAAGCAGTGAGAAAGCCATCCCAAATGAAGCTGGGAGGAGAAAGTCTTGTGATTTTGTATCAAATGGCTCTATTTGTTCATGCAAAGTAGAAAATTATGAAATTTGGCAGAAAATGTGCGATTTGAGCTAATTACAAGACCTGAAAAGGAGAATGCCGAACCCTTCAGTTTATCTTGAAAAGAAAACAAGAAAAAAAGGAGAGTCAATTAACTATAGAATGGCTGAAGTGAACTGAGCTGCAAATTATGTAGAAACTTACCCCAAACCTCTTCTTAGTGGTAGCTATCAACTCTTGAGGATTAATTCGTGTGTGACTATAGGCATCTATCTTGTTCAGCTCCTATAATGTTAATTTCTCAATTAATAGAACGAATTTTCATACAGAAGACAATGATTAGGTAGTACTAAAGGAAAAAAGAAATGTTAAATGCTTCTGCTTGCTGTGACTGCTAGCAAATATGATCTTATTTATACATTTTACACATTATATTTGTAGAAGACACATCTAATTGATGAGATCTTCATTGAGATAAGTGAGAGAAACTATTTTAAAGATAACAAATTTAAGATTAATAAACCAAATAACTAGTTAACTACATTCTAAATGACAAGTTAAATGAAAACTGTATATGATAGATTTGAGAATCTTGAATTTGAAAGTTGCAAATAAATACTCATAAAACATTTCTCCAATATCTATATAGTTCAATATCTTAATAAATATATAGGGGATTTACACACATTTCACATAATTTTATGTATTTATGTATTTATTTATGTAATATCTACATTTTTATATTTGCATAATATTAAGTTAAGTATTACAGTGATGAGGATGCTCAAGTGGATGGGTGGCTTTACTTTCAGAAACAGGATACGAAATGACCATATACGTGAAAAGGTTGAAGTGGCTCCAGTAGAAGATAAGATTAGAGAGAGTCGTCTTAGATGGTTTGGTCACATAAAACGGCGGCCTTCCGATGACCCGGTTAAGAAACTAGATGTATTAGATTTGACTTATGTTAAGAAAGGTAGAGGTAGACCTAAAGAGATTTGGTTAGAAAATATTAGAAATAACATTTCTTTATTAGATTTAGATGAGTATTTGACTCTTAACAGGACACAATGGAGAAAAACTATGCATGTAACCAACCCCACATAGTGGGATAAAGGCTTGATATTGTACATTTTTATATTTATTCAACACTCAAGTGCCTAATGATATTCTCTTCGAATTCAAAAACAAAATGGCTAAGAGACTCATTAGTAAGATCTGAGAGTTCTTTCATCCACCAGACTCTATGGTGTGGACTTCAATAATATCTTCACCATCTGTTTATAATTCAAATTCAAGTAACTTAATAAAGACGAGCCCATTCTAAATGTACCTCAATCCATAGAGCCAGCTTTGGCCTGCCCTTGGTAATGTCATAGTTCTTTATATCAGCAAATAAAAGTTGAAACCTCTCAATAAATGGAGCATATGCTATATCCACCTAAAATATACCACATCATCCAACAATCAGACAACAAGATCACCAACTCAGAACAAAGAGGCACAATTCTGAAATCCATAACTCTTACAAGACTGAATTGGCCAAGGAAGAAAGGTCCATCATCAAACTTTGAAAGGTGTTCTTCAATCTTGTTGAAAGCAGCATCTGCAATGGAAATGAACCCATAAATACATCAGAGGTTCATCAGCTAAAACAAAAAACCAGAGTTTGTAACTCACCAACTTCTTCACTGACACCACCCTTTGCAGGTAAGTCTCGATATAAAGCACCATTGAAAGAGTCGGTGAAAGCCAGCAGTTCCTCAGCAAGCTTCTTCTTTTCCGGATCCTATAATAATTTTCCAGAAAGCTTATCAATACCTGAAGAAACTAAAACCAGTTTCTATCTAGTTGACAAAAGTAATTCAACTACGCATACATCAGGAAGCAAAGAAGGCCCCTCAAAATGCTCATCGATGTACTTGAGCAGATCCAAGCTCTCCCCTTTGACCTCATTGTTATGCTCTAAAGAAGGGACCTAATCATCAATTCAACCCGATAGCAGCAGTTCAATAAACCATGAAAAGCAATCAAAGACTTGAAAGTATCAGAGAAAGGTAAAATCTTTCATCTAATTACCCATACCTTATTTACAGAATAGACCTTCTCCTTGTACCACGCAGGCCTGTTCTGCAGATCAATCGGCACCAGTTTTATCTTGTCCTGCAACCCCTGCTCACGAACGCGCACCAATTTATCATCTAAATCCCAAATAACTCATCAAAAAAGCCAAAAATTAACTTACCTTGTAGTTCCTGGCAATCCAGGTGCGCTGTGCGAACGGGCAAACGTAAGATATGTACAACCTAATCAACCAAATCATAGTCTCAGCAACAATAACCTAAAATCCCAAAACACCGAAGGAAGGAAAAGATTTCCGCCAAAACGGGAAATTTTACCTCGTCGTTCCATCGAACAGAGAAGGTGGCTCCGCAGTAGCATCCAGAGAGGGGGGAAGCTCCTCCTTCGTGTAACTGCTACAATGAATCATGCAGCTAAAACTGTAGCGCGAACAAATGGATCGAATAGGAAATACGAAAAATTTAGGATTTTGAACTGACCTCGCGACGGCTGCGGCCATGGCAAAGAACTTAAATCTCCTCTCGGGTTTTAGCTTCGGATTTCTATGAAGATGAGTGGCGAAGGAACCGAGCTTGGATTTATAGAACGGGAGGGAGAAAGGAGATCGAGATTTAAGAAAGCAGTTGTGACTTCGTTCTGGAAAGTTCGTTCTTGAAAACGTCAGCGGTGACGGTAAGATGGAACTGACTGTCTTCTCCATTATCGCTCGCTCGCATCCTGCTCGTAACTCTGCGAATTATTAAGCTCAGAATAATAGTAACGAATAAATAATTAATTAAAAATTGTATTATAATTATCTCATATTAAATTTGATGATTTTAAATGTATTATAATAAAAGAATTTCATCTGAGTATTTTAATTTTTATTTATTTTAATCATACTTTTTTTTTTCTTACGCTCTGTTCTTTGACACATATAGTCTTATCATTTTAAATTTTT